AATGCTGGTAAGGGAATATGTAGTTACATTGAATTACAGTTTTCATTTCTTCTTTATCGTATACCTTCAAAAGAAATCGGTGAGTAATTAATCCCGGCAAATTGAGCCTACTGCATTTGTTGCAGTTTCCAGATGTCATCTGCTGAAGACAAACGAAAGCTAATGGTGCGGCAGTATTTGTCTTACATAAATTCTCACTGGTAAAATTTGTACTAGACTTATAAGACTAACAATAAACATCCTACGTCATCCGCAAACAGTAGGGTAGCGACCCATTTTGCTCGTCAGTCTGAAAATTTAGTTGGAACCTTTTTTATGTGTCGTTTCAAATTAATTCTCTCGAATTTGTATTTAAACGCTACCGAAATATTCATTTGAAACTCCATTATTTCACTTTTTATCCTCCTTGGTCTTGCTCAGCCAGAAATATTCAGCCGCGGTATTGAAACACATGACTGCCTAATACGTCACTCACCCAAAAACGAGGCTGTAATCTGGCAGATATTCGCCTAGAACAATTTAAAGAAATAATGAAGGTTTATCTGAAATAAATAAAAATCCCAGCAATTATTAAGGTCAGATAAAAGAGGTTTAAAAAGATTAAATGGATTTAAATGATCATTCAAATTTAAAAGTATCAAAAGTTTAAGGATGTTCGCGCTAATTGTTTCTGCGCATCCTTACTGCGCATGCGCACGCAAATTCACGCGCCACGTCATGCATGAGAGCACGCGCTAAGTAATAAAATGAACAATGATAAGGCAATGATGGATGGATCATTTCCTCTACCAATTTTCTACTTTTAGCGTAAAAAAATGAGGAAAATCTATCGACTAGAAGTTTGAATTTTGTGCAAAATGCACCATTGAATTCTGTTGTTTTTAGCTCTACGTTGATCTGTGCGGGATTTTCAAATGCCTCTTGAAGGGTTAAGTTTTGTGAAAACGTTGGTAGCATTTGCAATTATTTACTCAACAGACCCACATCTACAAAATATGACTAATATCGTTTATTACCTCCGGTGACTAATCTTCGATATTTTTAATTATAATAAAGTTTACATATAATGCGCGCTCTGATTGGCTGAAAGAGCGTGCTTTATCAGAGAACAGAGCACGGGTTGATGACGGTAAGTTGGCTTTAAATTTTTGCTTCGAAATTTTGACCAATTTGCCCCAAATTAAACATCCCCTGTGATTCAGACAACTCGGAAACGAGCTATTTGTCTGTAGTAAATATGGCTCACAGAGACCATTGTTAGCAACAGTAGTGTTAAAAC